GCGCGCCGAGAAGTCCTATTACCCCCGCGACGTGGAGACGCTGCGCCTGGACGTGCACTTCGAGACGGACACGCGGCTGCACATCAAGGTGAGCCCGGCCCTGCTCTGGCGGGGCCTCCCTTGCTGTTCTCATCCCTCTGCCCGCCTGCTCTGCGGGTCCTCAAAGCGGTTCCCTCCCTCCTGCAGATTACCGATGCTGCCAACCCTCGGTACGAGGTGCCCTTCGAGGTTCCCCCAACCACGAAGAGAGCCGAAAATCCCATCTACAGCGTGGAGTTCTCCCGGGAGCCCTTCGGGGTGGTGCTGCGGCGACGGGTGACGGGCACTGTGCTGTGAGGAGCCTCCTTGGAACTGGGGACCCCTTGGCAGACCCTTTTCCCTCCCCGCATCGACTCCCACGTGCTGCCCTTAGCATAGGGGGGAAACACGCCAGGGTAATGCTCAGTGTTGGGGCAAACCCCGCGTGTGCAGGCCCCCCACCATGGCAGTCACCAACGAGGGACACGTGGCTCCAGGCTGCCCGAGGGCTGCAGATTTGCTGTTCTCTTTGGCAAAACTCCAGCAAGTGCTGGGTTCTGGTTGTTTTTGAGGGAAAGGGGATGCATTTATCCTTGCTGGCTGCTGCACTCACTTCTTAGCTTCATCCCCACCATGTCCCCAGTCAGCTCTGTCTATGGCCTCCTGGACTATAGGCAGGGGGTTTTGGCAGCCTTGTTGGGTCACGTTCTTTTCCTCCTCTTCTTGCCCTGTTTGCTATGGCCTGTGGTCTGCCCCTTCCTTGGAAGCCGTTTATCAGTGCAACACGCTGAGAAGCTTCACCACGTACACCATGTATTGCTTTCATACGGTGACCATGGGGAAAGCTCCTGGTGCCCACAGCGAGGCCGTGCCCCACAGGTCAGGCTGGCTTTTGGGGTCAGGCTGTGCCTCGCACCGAGCCAGACCAGCATGCCCATCCATTCCACACCTGCCTTGGCCAGAGCTAGGCTGCCGGTGGGAAACAGGGCCCTTTTGCTGGCCCTAAATCTGCTCCTGGAGGCAATGGGTAAATGGATGGACGTCCATCCTCTCTCCATTCTCTTACCCTCTGTGTCACTGCCAGGCTCAACACCACGGTGGCTCCCTTGATCTTTGCCGACCAGTTTCTGCAGATTTCTACGGCACTGCCGTCGCCGTTCCTCTATGGTCTGGGGGAGCATCGCACCAACCTGCTGCACAGCCTCGACTGGATCACCCTGACGCTGTGGGCCCGGGACGTCCCTCCCACGGTACCCTGCCCTCCTCCGCAGCGGGGCACAACGATGGGGCTGGAGCTATCGAGCGCATGGAATAAGCCCTGGGAAAACAGCACCGGGTCTTGGCAGCAGCCTGGGGAAGGCAGGGGCTGGTGTGGCGGCTTGTCCGTGCGGTTGTGGGCTCCGGGCTGCATCGCATGGATGCTGCGGGGTTGCCCAGGCCTCCTACGGCCACCCTTGTGGAGCCAGGATTGCGGGGAGGACGCTGAGCTGCACCAGGGCTGGCAGGACGGTACGTGCATGGGGAGAATTTCAGAGCCGTTGCAAAATGCTCAGTGCTCTGAAGGCCCCGAGCACCTTCTGCTCCACCCTGTCATTTGTGCAGCAGGTTGCAGCAAAGCTGCTTCTGGACAGGAGGTTTCTCTCCCATCCAGCACAGCTCATCAGCAAACCCTGAGCACAGACTGCCCAGGCAGGAGGGCCTCGTGCAGCCTATGGGCATCACAGGCTGGAGCTGCTCCCTCAACCCACAACTCTTGTTTGCAGGAATCGCTCAACCTCTACGGGGCTCACCCCTTCTACCTGGTGATGGAGCAGGGTGGAGATGCTCACGGGGTTTTCCTCCTCAACAGCAATGCAATGGGTAGGTGTTTTGGGCTCCTTGGTTCGGGAACTTGGGGCAGGAGGAAGCCATAAAAGGAAAAAATGTGGTTTCATGGCTCCATTATTGAGCTTGGCCATCTGTTTCCTGGCTAAAGTGAGGCTCTTTAGCAACTGCCGAGCAGTTTAACCACATGCCAGCTGCTGAATTGCTGTCAGAAAAGCACCTCGTGTGCTGGTCTCTGCCTTTTCCCTGCCCTCCTGAAATAGCTGAGCCTCAAAGCACCACATTGTGCCTCAGTCCTGCTGCAGACAGGGACAGCAGCCTCCAAAGCTGC